TTCCTTCCATCTAACTTCTAGACTCAGAGACACATGGATTTATACCCCAGCATGGCCATTAACTTGCTGTGTGACCTTGAATAAATCACTTAACCTCTCTGAGCTTTTTAATCTCTAAAATGGAGGTAAGAATATATTCCTTGCAGGGTTGTTGTGAGACTTGAAACATATATAAAATGGCACACAGTAGATGAACACAAGTTCTCTTCTGCCTTCTCTCTCTTGGTAGCATCCTAATCTAAGCCCTCCTCATTACATACTTGGATTACAGCAGAAACTTCCCAAAGGTCCCCAGTTTTCTAATCTCCTTCTCCAATCCAATACATCCGAACACCAATACCAGGGAAATTTCAAAATATTGTGTTCCTTTTTGCCGCTCTTCTGACCCTGTAATATTCCTTTCCCATTGCCTGATGGTAAAGGCAAAGATCCATTCTAGTCCTAAAATCTGCAATACCATGGACTCATACATCCCAGGATGATCCTGTTGTGTCTTGTCGAACACCTTGGGAATGACTGTGATTGCCTGAGGGAGACTGAAAGAGGAAGAGACTCAAGGACAGGACAGAATCTTAGGGATGCTAGCCTTTCAGGGCTGGGAAGAAGAGGAGCCATAGAGGAGCTTGTGGAGGACCAGCCAGGAAAGTAGGGTTGGCTCCAGGAAAAGATGGAAAAGACAGTTTCCAAGAGAAAGTGATCACGAGTGTCAAATGTTGCAAAAAGGTTGAGAACCAAAAGGGGCGTGTCATGAGTTTGGATAGTGTCCTCCAAAAAGATCTGACCAAGTCTTCATCCCCAACACTTCCAAATGACCTTATTTGGAAATTTGGTCTTTGCAGATGTAATTAAGTTAAGGGTCTCAAGATAAGATTCTTGATGTAGGGTGGGCTGTAAATCCAATGACCTATGTCCTTGGATGTTTAGCAAAGGAGAGGGACACAGGGACACAGAGGGAAAGATCTGTGAAGACTGAGGCAGAGGCTGGAGTAAGGTGTCCGCGAGCCCAGGAACACCAGAAGCTAGAAGAGAGACATGGATTTCTGGATTTCAGTTTTCTGGCCTTGGTGACAGAATACATTTCTCTTAAGTTTTTCTGTTCACTGTAGCACCATGCACTGGCAAATTAGGTTTCCTTTCTCCTTCCCCGAAGCGGTGGGGGTGGGGGGGTTGAAGGAGGGGTGGGGGGGCAGGGCTCATCAGACAAATTACAGGAACCAGAAAAGCAACATTGTCTTTGCATTTTTCCTTGAATGTGTGCCCCTGCTACCCACGCCACCGGTCAGACCGTGCTCCGAAGGCTGGGAAGCACAGCACGCCCAGGGCAACATTTCAGAGGCCTGCTGGAGGGGGTGTGGTGTGCTTGTGGGGAAAGGGTGGCTTGCCGGCCTGGAACGTGGAGACTGTGTGTATGAGTGAGACAAGATTCTCCTGGGAATGGCTCTAGGGATGGTTGCTGCTGGGATAGGATGTAGAAAAATCAAATTCAAGGATACAAATCAATACTGTCATATACCCTGGAGGCTAGGGAAGCACCTTCCCACAGGGGAGACTGTGTAAGAGAAAGTAGAAATGGCTCCCAAGCCGCTGGGGGCAGATCTGGGCTATTTTGAGTTTAACAGAAGAGTCATGTCACGGGATCCTTCCTTCTCGGTTCACTGAATCCTCCCCACAGCGCTAAGTGTTCTTATAAAAAACAAACAGACAAAACCCAGAGGGCTGGTTTCCCATATTTCTGTTTTGAGGCTGGGGTTCAGACAAGGTCAGGATCCACAGCTAGTATGGATTCAAACCTCCACACCCCCATGTTTTCCCCACCACAGCTCACTGCCTGATTAGGGAGGGAGGTGGGGACCGTCAGGTGAGGGGAGCAGGTGAAGCTGGTGGATCAAGTCCCCACAGACCTCTTTGCCGGCTTCAAGTTATCTACTGGTGGGGGTGGGGAACGTGACCTTGAGACCCAGGTAGGGCCGGGTTCCTAATTTCTGCATTGAGATCTTGGGCAAATAACTTAAGCTCTGGAGCCTCAAATTTCATTCTTAGAACAATGGGGATAATAATTCCCACCTTACTGAGAGTTAAAGGATTAGACGAGGGCATGCTCACAGTGTGCCTAGCACAGAGGCTGATATGGGGGAAACAGTTCAAAACAGTTTAATTCTGCTCTGTTCCAATCAGCGTTTTCAAAGTTAAATGCCCTGAGAAAGCAGAGCAAAGTGATTTAAACCAGGGACTGGTTTAAGAGGCCTGCTCAAGCAGGCTTCCCTGACCTTGACCTTTGGCACACTTAAAAAAAAAAAAACAAAATCTAGAAAACCTTTTCTTGTGAAGGGAACATAGCAGTCTCCTTGGGAGCTCGGCCCACCTGCCACCCTGGGGAGTATCAGTAAACACAGTGCAGGTTGGTGGGGTCCATCACTCACTTCAGTGTTTGAGGCAAGAGACCCAGGTGCATCTGTGCACCACGAGAATGGGGCTCAGCCAGTTCCTTGCCTCCAGGGGACACCAGAGAATCACACTTTGTCAGTGACAGGGTGGTCCCAGTCTGCAAATGTGCACTAACCTCAATAAAAGAATGTCAAACTCTTTCTTTCTCAAGAAATCTTGAGAGGAAAGGAGCTCCTGCCAGGTGCAGAAGAAAGAAGAAAACCCGCTTTTGGCAGCAGGGAAATCAGGTTGCCACGGCAACGAGCTCCTTCCCAAGTCCACTCATGATATGGCTTTTGAATTAGACTTCCTCCCGTGTCTACCTCTAGCAGCTGGATTCCCATCTCGCCACCAGCCAAACGCACCAGGCTTCTCCCCAGGGAAACCACCACGGAAGGGAGCCACTGAGCCTCCTTCCAAAGCCGGCCCCTCCAGTCCCTGGGATGGGACCATAGGATTTACTTGGTTGACACTGGGAAGAAGGGGAGAGCAGCCCTCTCATCTTCTGTGGGTGGGAGGGTAACTGGTACAACTTCTTTGGGCAGCAGTTTGGCAAAATGGAAGTACATCCTCTCTGACCTCGCTGTCCCGGGACTTCACCATGGCACTACAGCTTTTCTGTAATAGCAGAAAATTGGAAACCACCTCCATCTCACTGAGAGGGGGCTGGTTAAATATGAGCTGCAGCTCCTGTGGAATACTGGGCAGCTGTAGAAGTAATGGGCTAGATCCCATCAGCCCACATGGGAAGACAGATTTAGTTCAAAAAGCAAGTTGTTCAAACTCAAGGAAACAGAAAGTAGAATAGTAGCGGTTGCCAGAAACTGGGGGAGGGGGAAATGGGGAATTGTTTAATAGGTGTCTGGCTTCAGGGGTACCTGGCTGGCTCAGCTGGTGGAGCGAGCCACTCTTGATCTCGTTGTCCTGAGTTCGAGCCCCACATGGGGTGTAGAGATTACTTAAAAATAAAATCTAAAAGGGGTCCCTGGGTGGCTCAGTCATTGATCATCTGTCTTCGGCTCAGGTCATGATCCCAGGGTCCTGGGATCGAACCCCGCATCGGGCTTCCTGATCCTCAGGAGGCCTGCTTCTCCCTCTCCCACTCCCCCTGCTTGTGTTCCCTCTCTCGCTGTGTCTGTCCAATAAATAAATAAAATCTTTAAAAAAAATCTAAAAGAAAATAGATGTATAGCTTCAGTTTTGTAAGATGAAAAAGTTCTGGAGATCAGTTGTAAGCCACATACATAAGCACTACTGAACCGTAAACTTAAGAATGGTTAAGACAGGTGGGTGGCTCAGTTGGTTAAGCGTCTGCTTTGGGCTCAGGTCATGATCCCGGGGTCTTGGGATCGAGTCCCGCACTGAGCTCCCTGCTCAGAGGGGAGTCTGCTTCTCCCTCTGCCCCTCACCCTGCTCATGCTTGTTCTCTCTTAAATAAATAAAATCTAAAAAAAAAAAAAAACAAACCCAGTTAAGACAGTAAATTTCATGTTTGCATATTTTACAATATTTTTAAAAAGATTCTATTTACTTATTTATTTAGAGCACGCACACGAGCAGGGGGAGAGGGAGAGGGAGAGAACCCCAAGCAGACTCGGCGCTGAGTGGGGAGCCCAACTCAGGGTTCTATCTCATGACCCTGAAATCATGACCTGAGCCGAAATCAAGAGTTGGATGCTCCATGGACTGAGCCACCCAGGTGCCTCTGTATTTTACCACAATATAAAGAAAACCAAGTTGCAGAATAGAATCAATACTGTTATCACAATCTTTTGTGTGTGTGTGTGTGTGTGTGTGTGTGTGTGTGTGTAAGGGCAATGCAATTTGGGAAGGAGACAAAACCAACTGTTACCAGTGGTTACTTTTGTGGTGGGAAGGAAATAGAGGAAAAAAAGGATGTTAGTTTTCATTTTTTTCCTCCCTCTAGTTTTAAAACCTATATAATTAGCATCTATTATTTCTGTGACTTCAACAAACCTGTAAACCAGTGGCGATCCAGTGGCGATGATGTTAATATACCTGATCTCCAGGAAGCTACTGCAAGTCAACAGCTGTTTATTGAGGGTTAACGTCCTACCTACAGGCGCTGTGTGAAGTCTGAGGGAGAGCCAGCACAAGCACGGTCCCTGTCCTCCTGGGGTTCACACTCCTATGGGAGGCTGTCCCGACCACAGCTGGGGACAGTCACGGAGAGTACTGGCAGGCAGGAGCTGCTTACCCCATCTCCTCTCACATCTCTGAGAAGGTGACATGTAAGCTGAGACCTGAAGCTTGAACAGGAGCCAGCCAGGGGAGGGAGAAAGGGCACCTGGGCACAGGAGCAGAGGCTGCAAAGACCTGGAGCCAGACGAGAGGGAAGGCCAGTGTGTCAGGACTGAGGGTGGAAAGGAGAGTGTGTTTGGGGGGGACTGGCGGCGAGGAGGCTGGGGTGCGTTCCCAGTTCCTAGGGCAATGGAAAGGCACCACGGGATTCTAAGCCAAAGAGTGACATGATCTAATTTATGTTTTAAAAAGCTCACCATGGTTGCTGGGGGTGGGGGAATGGGTCGGAGAGGGGGCAGGAGTGGAAGCAGACAGACTAGATAATGAGGTCTTTATTAGCTTCCTGCTGGATGACTTTGACGAGCATTTTGGCTTTAGATGAGGTTAGAAAATTGCAGATAATTGCTGAGAGGTTAGAAGAGTGTGCTTTTTAAAAGGCTCTCATGCACACAAACCTGGTGACACTTGTCTTGGCTGGGGTCAGGGCGAAGGAGGGTTGCTGCCAGCTCTTCATACTTCCAGGTGGCTTGAGTCCATGGGATCCTGTTAAATGCAGGATCTGATTCAGCAGGTCAGGGTGGGAGTGGTCTGAGACTCTGCAGGTGAGGCCAAGCCGGGAACCACACTTGGAATAGCAGACTAGGGAGGACTTTCATTTTCAAAATTCCTGTAATGTTCACCTTCCTTTTTTAAAGGCATAATTTGCTCTTGTGCTGCAAAACAGTAACAATTATAAAGATATTTTTAAAGGGCCCTTGACACAGCCTGCTTGAGACACGAGCAGACAAAGCAGAAGGATAGATTAGAAAGGGACGTCTCTGACCCAGGCCTCCGGGAGGACAAGGTCACCTCCCAGGGAACTCTCAGGGGCCCAGTGCAAAACAAAGAAGAAACAATCTTTAAGTAAACCTTAAACACCTATTATCTATCAAGAACTGTGTTAAGTGCTGGGATATGTGAGGGAAGAGTTGCTGGCAGAGGAGAGGGAAGACAGAGCTATAAACAGAGAATAACCCAAGCCCAAGGTGCTAAGTACACAGATGGAGTTACACCCCAGATGTGCCAGAAGGGCGGCCAACCTGGGGAAGGGGTACGTAGGGCTGCCAGAGAATCACCTAGATCACCTCTGCTAGAACTCACCTCCCAGGTCAGCCAGGAAACTGGCTGAGAGGCTTGGACACCATTCCCCCACCATGCCAGGAACTGCCCCAGGACCTTTGCAGACAAGTCTCAGAGTCCTAGTGCTTAAGGGCACAGACTCTGGGGCCAGATTACCCCGGTTCACATCTCCGCTCCGTCACTCACGAGCTATGTGAACTTGGGCAAATTACTTAAGCTCTCAGAGCGTCAGTTTCCTCCCCTGATAAATGGGGATAATAATAACCAAGAGTGCTATAAGGACTAAAGGAGTTACTTGTATGTAAAGCACTTACAATGATGGGTGGTATGTAATAAGAGCTATTATGACTTATCCTCAACCACTCTGTGAGCCCAGTCATATTAAAAGCCCATTGAGTAGGTAAAGATGCTGAGGATTACAAAGATCAAACTCAGCTCTGGAAAAGGCCCAAGCAGAGAAGCGCTGGGAGAGCAGCACCCTGGATGTCTCTCTGAGTCCTGAACCCCTGAATCCCATTTCCCATAGCGCTGCTCAGGTGCCCCATGCCCACCCCAGGTATTGCAAAAAGACCTGGTCCTCCCTCCCTTCCTCTTGGAACAGCAGTCCTGTGCAGGAGCTAGAGACCACTCAGGAGGAGCCCAAGCGTGTTTCTCCATAGACTGCAGTGTTCCCAAGCTGGTCACTCACCCGGCCTCTCTAAGGCCGATCAACCCCAAACCTGAAACTCAGCCTGCAGGGGCCACATTAAAACAAAACCGCTCTATCTGCACGGAGGTCTTTGCAAGATGAAAGGGGTTTCTGAGATGAGAAAGCAGGCTACCTCCATCTATCTTATTTAATCCTGCTGGTTGGATGCAAATTGCTTTCTCACATTGAGGCAAAAGAACGCTGGTGGGTGGTGTGATGTGGGCAGGCAGCTGAGAGACTCGTGGGGAAGAGGAACGCCTGCATAGCAGGACCCCAGAGCAGCCCCTGATGCGAGGCAGGGTGCAGCCACCGGGAATTTTCTCCTCCTTCCCTGCTCCAGGAAAGAGTTTATGGAGTGTGAGAGTCAGGTTTTCTCTTCAGCCTTTGCCCGAGACAACAGGGCCTGGGAGCATTCTGATGGACTAGTGTAACTGCTGGAGTAGGGCTCCTGGGCCATGGGAACTGGCCGAAGCAGGACAGCTGGGGGACCCTACCTACAGAGGCTCGGGGAGGGGAGGGGAGGTCTGCAGACCACACTAGCCTGGGTGGCTGAAGAGAAGTCAAGGCTGCTTCTAGGTGCTCTACCCAAATTCGTATTTATGTATGATGAATATATTTAGGTTTATGTTTATTTATACCACTTTGTTACATAAAGAACTTGAGATGGTTTGCAAAAATGTGTGCAATGTCAAGGAATAAAACAAATAGCTTTGGGAATTGAAGTGAAAGGAAAGTAAAGGGAGGGAAAATAATGGAAGTAGGAGTAAGATTAGTATCCACGAATGGATAATGAGTAGTTCTGTACAGTTAGTTGCTAACAAGGCCCAGACACTCGGTTCTGAGAACCTTAGCGGCCAAAGCTAAGAGGTACCAACAATCCAGTACATGAACCAGAGTGTACAAGACGGAAAAAACCCAGAACTCAGAAGCATCACCTTAAACCTGGTACAGAAACTTGGGAGGAATTCCTCCACTGTCCACCTAAAGATGACCCCAGACGAAGAAGGCAATAGATGCTCTCAGGGGCACCTCGACCACAGAGACAGTAACAGCCATTTCTCAGAATGTTCCTTAGGATGAACTATGGCACTGAAATGCCATTCATGAGTAATCCTAATAATTGTTCTGTAATATCAGAAATTGGAGACAACCTCAATGTCCATCAAACACATTAAGGTACAGACATGTGATGGAATACTACACAGCTATTAAAAAGGAAGAGGAGCGGGGCACCTGGGTGGCTCAGTCGGTTAGACGTCTGCCTTCAGCTCAGGTCACAATCTTAGGGTCCTGGGATCGAGCCCCACGTCTGGCTCTCTGCTCAGCAGGGAGCCTGCTTCTCCCTCTCTCTCTGCTTGCTGCTCCGCCTCCTTGTGCTCTCTCTCTTTCTCTCACACAAATAAATAAATAAAATTTTTAAAAAAGAAAAAGAAAGAGGAGCAATTTAGGTACTCATACAAAATAATCACCAAGATATATTGGGAAGTGGAAAAAAGCAAGGGGTAGAATAATGCCTATAAGTGGAAAAAAAAAGAAAAGAAAAAAAAAGTGTCTACACTTAAATGCTTGTATACACCCTAGGTCCTTTCTGGTGGGAGGAATCTCAAGAAGCCACTGATTCTGGGGATGGGAACCGGGTGGAGGGTGATAAAAGTAAGAGACTGCCTTTCATTATATAGCCTTTTGTACCTTCTGTATTTTGTACCACAGGAGTGTATTGCATGTTCAACCTAATTAAATAATGCATTATAAACATGTAAGCAAAAATAATCCAAGAGGGGCTCCTGGGTGGCTCAGTTGTTAAGCATCTGCCTTCGGCTCAGGTCATGATCCCAAGGTCCTAGGATCGAGCCCAACACCGGGCTCCCTGCTTGACGGGAAGCCTGCTTCTCCCTCTCCCACTCCCCCTGCTTGTGTTCCCTCTCTCGCTGTGTCTCTGTCAAATAAATACATAAATAAAATCTTTAAAAAAATAGAGTGGCTACACACGAGGGGCTCTATACAGAGACCCTCCTTTATGATCAGGCTTAAGGACAACATATAGATTACCCAGGAGAATGGAAAATCTAGGCATCCTTCAGCTCAGTTCTCCATGAAAGTCATTTACCCAGCGTGTTCCTGCCGAGACTCCGGTGGGTAGAAGATTTACATTGCTGTTTAAGATCCATCGCTTTCCTCTTCAACTGGAAAATTAAAAAACTTTCCCTTTCCACCAAAAAAAAAAAAAAAAAATCCTGTTAGAACTAATACATTTAGCAAAGTTGCAGGATGGAAAATCAACACAAAAATTGGCTGTGTTTCTATAATGAACAACCTTAAAAAGAAGTTAAGACAATTTACAACAGCATCAAAAGAATACAAAGGAATAAAATACTTTAACCAAGGAGGTGAAAAATTTATATGATGAAACCTTCAAGATGGGGGCACATGGGTGGTTCAGTCGGTGAAGCGTCTGCCTTTGGCTCAGGTCATGATCCCAGGGTCCTGGGATCGAACCTGAAATCAGGCTCCCTCCTCTCAGCGGGGAGTCTGCTTCTCCTTCTCTCTCTGCCCCTCCCCCTGCTCATGCGCACTCTCTCATAAATAAAAAAAAACTTTAAAAAAGAAACCTGCAAAAAAATAAAAAAATTTAAAAAAACCCTGCAAAATGTTGCCGAAAGATGTTAAAGACGACACTCATAACTGGAAAGCCACTTCTTTTTTTTTAAGATTGTATTTATTTGAGAGAGAGAACTCACAAGCAGGGGGAGGGGAGGGGAAGAAGCAGGCTCCCTGCAGAGGGCTCGAAATCCCAGGACCAGAGATCATGACCTGAGCAGAAGGCAGATGCTTAGCTGACTGAGCCCCCCAGGTGCTCCAGGAAAGCCACTTTTTGTTCATGGATTAAGATGTCAATACCACCCAAAGTGATCTACAGATTCAAACCAATCCCTATTAAAATCCCAACGTTTTCTGTAAAAATTGAAAAAAATCCATTTTAAAATTCGTATGGAACCTCAAGGGACCCTGAACTGCCAAAAAAAAAAAAAAATCCTGAAAGAGAACAAAACTGGAGGACTCACACTTCTTGATTTTATTTTTTAAAATTTTTTAAACAAGATTTTATTTATTTGACAGAGAGATAGTGAGAGCAGGAACACAAGCAGGGGGAGTGGGAGAGGTAGAAGCTGAGCAGGGAGCCCGATGCTGGGCTGGATCTCGGATCATGACCTGAGGCGAAGGCAGACGCTTAATGACTGAGGCACCCAGGTGCCCCACACACTTCCTGATTTTAAAACATACTACAAGATAATGTGATCCTGGCATAAAGACAAATATATAGACCGATGGAATAGAAAAGAGAGCCCCAAAATAAACCTCTGAATATATGTCAAATGATTTTCAACATGGGGGCCAAGACGATTAAATGGGGAAATAACACTCTTTCCAACATGGGGTGTTGGGACAACTGGGTGTCCACATGCAAAAGAATGACGTTGGACCCCGACTGAACACCATATACGAAAATTAATGCAGAGTGGACATCTTTGATTTGAGGTAGAGATTCAATAAATATGTGCCGAGAGACTGACTGAGTGTCCCCTATTGTCCCTGTTCTCCCAACTACTGCTTCGGAAGGTAGAGATGGAGCTATACCGGGTACCTGGGGTATAAACAAAATTTGAATATCCTATGCCAGCGAGAGTGCCATGGAAGGTTCTCCTTTACACACACACACACATCATGCACATATAAACACAACATGCATCCCACACCACACACACTGTGCATATAATACATACATCATAGACACCACACATCCCACCCATACATCACACATATCACACACAACACACATCCCACACATATCTCACACATACACACACATACCCTGCATCACATGCCTCACACACACATACTGCACTC